AATTGTCGTTTATTACCCAACACTGTCGCGTAATTAAGATCCGACTAATGTGTTTATCCAAGATTTTATCAATACGTCTGACCATTACTACTTAGTTCTACTTGCGAATGACTCGACTAATGTGTCTGACCATTACTCAATGTTACCACTTGAGTATAACGTCTTTCCGTTGCTCGTTACTTCCACCTAATTAAGAGTCGACTAATGCGTTTATCCATTATCCAGTATTGCTACTTGGGCGAGATTTCATCAATACGTCTAATTATTGCTATTTAATTCTACTTGAGAATTACTTGGCTAACGTGCCTGTCCATTACTCGCTGTTTTCGTTCAAGTAGAACATGGTTAAATTTGGTTTCAAATTGTTACAAACTAAAATACTCGAAAAAGTCTCTGGAATTATATTCCGCCATTTCGAGTATTAATTATCTTTTCGATTGTTAAATTAGACTTTCAAAGTTGCGCCAATGATTTTACCAATCCCTCTAAATTGGTCTTCTCAAATTCCCAAGCTCGAAAATTCAACCCTTATTTTATCGCACTTTCGAACTTGTATAAAATCAGTGCCATAGCTACTCTAGTGCTGGACACACACAGAAACGCCAATGATTTTTTATTTTGATCACTCGATGCAGCAACGTTTCCACATTCTGCGGATTCTGTAACTCTCGCGTCGATAAATTAGATTTCAGCCCGAGACCGGTGGGCATCTGTTTTCTCTGAATCCGACCAGAGGAAAGAGGTTTTGCTGGCGAACGCATGGGACCCGTAAGAAAATAACGTTACACGGTATCAAACGAGGAACGGAGAAAAAGTAATCCCTTAGTGCTGGCTCTTGACAAAAGAGAATGTAAAGAGAAAGAAGAAACGCCCTGTAAGAGTGGAAAGTGACAGGGGAAACGACGAGTGCTATTCAATCTTGGTGAATGAACCTGCTTCCTACGTTCGCGTCTGATTTACATCTGAATGCTCACGAGCGCGACGGAAATAAGTAAACTAGGTTCGCTGTAATTGCGTCGTTGGCATGCGTTCGCTCGACGTTGGTAATTTATTACAGCTCCCTACCCATATCACTCATTGGATAAATTGCAGATGAATTCTACGTACATCACGGTGGTTGTTTGTTGAATTTCATTGAACCGTCACAGTGAAGAAAAAGAACGACACGCCTGAAGCTTACATATTTTTCAATAAGAATTACAAGAGTAATGAGAGTAAATGTAGAATTTAATTCTATACCTCTTTGAATTAAACTTACCATTCATTTACGAAGAGAAACCATACTAGTGTTAATCTTTCCACGGTCATTCGTTCCAAACGAGTACGTATAATCGTAAAAACAATATGTCGTAGTGAATAAAAATAAGATTCGTACTTTAACGTAATAAAATGGCAGCTAAAGTATTTCTACTTAAACTAGAGTTACAAACGTATGAATGAAAAGGGACGGAATTAATTTCTACACTTGATATACAAATTAATAATCGAAAACAAAAATTTCTAAGGAACTTGTGAATATATATAAATCCAATCGAGATCTCGGAAGTCTCCCCGTAAAATAAAAGGTCGAATGTCCGTTCACCGAGCTCCACTATTTTCGATTGTTGAACGAAGATTCGCCCCGCAAGTAGTTAGACAACATGCAGTTAATCGCCTCCAAGTTCCACCGGAGAGTGGTTGGACGACGAATGTGTTCATGGGACAAGTGGTGGCACGCGGAAAACAGCGCAAGAAAGGCATCATCTCTACAGGAGTTCAACTCGAGGAAGTTGAATCCGTGGGTGACGCGCGACGAACACTCCGAGGTCACCTCGAATGGAGGGATGACTAGTTCTGAATTTCGAACTTGGCCATCTTCGACGTTGCTGGCTTACGTGTTCGCTAGAGCATTTCCGAGAGCCTCGAGTTTCTGTCATAAGTGAAACTACGACGTCGATATATTATAACTCACGAAGGGTGTATTAATGGTGAAAATGTATCGAGCCAGAGAAACTAATCCATTTCTGGCGGATTCTAATAGCATCGAAGTGTCAGCTAAAAGTAGTAATTAATTGTATTCAATGTAGAAGATGCAAGCGTTTTGATTACGAGAATAATATGTTATTATACAGGTATATATGGATGTGCGTAAGAATTCTTTGTTTTCT